AGCAAAACGAGGACCATAGCAAAGCGAAGGTGCGTCGACGATGCCGCATAAACCTTCCCGTCCCAATTCCCCTCCTCAGAAGTCCCTGGAATCATTCCTGGCCTCTGCGGGAAACGCCCTCCGTGACAGACGAACGCCCCGTGGGCCTGTCCTTCAGGCGAGGCTCCGTGGTGTAAAGGATACACCCTCCATCCCTCTATCTGTCATGATTTGAAGACATGTAGGGTCCTAAAGTTCAAGGGTTTTGTCCAGCGAGGGATCAGTTTTGAACATGATGTGCCCGCCATGCGTGAAAGTGTTACAGATGTTCAAAGCCATTGGCTTCTGCCATATACTGGATACCCGGCCCTGGGGGCTACAGGACCGCAGCACACCAGAGGCCCTCAGGGCTCCCTGATGGCCCCCTCCCCTCAAGGAGCCTCCCCAGGGCTGTCCCAGGAGGCTCCTGAAGCTCCGCAGAAGTTCCAAGACCGCCACAACACGGTCCCAAGCGGCCCCTGGGCTCACCCAGGAGGCTCTGGGCGCCACGAAGGGGCCCCAAGACGATATCCAGAAGCCGCTGGAGTGACCACAGAAGCCCTCCAAGGGAAATTCCTGCGGTGTCGTATCATCATCTGGAGTTCCCGCTTGTGGACAGGATGTGGCTCCAAGATGGGCTCGGAACCCCAAAAGGTCCCCAAGAGTGCTCCACTATTGCCCCAAGATGGCCCAGGACTGCCTCGCGAGAGCTCCATGAGGGCCGATGACAGCCTCTGGAAGAGCCCAAGACGGCCCAAGAGGACCCCAAGAGGGTCATCAGGCTCAAGAGAACCTGATACATTCCAGGAGTGCTCCCAAAGGAGTTCAAGACGGCCCAGACGGCCCCAAGACGGCTCCGAGAGATCCCCAATACGGCCAGGCGGCCCCACGACAATTCCGAAACGGCCGCCAAGAGTCCTCGAAGGCGGCCCCTCTATCATGCGTTCAGGCGACCGTCCAGACGGCGTCAGTACCCCGCATGATGCTTCCCAGACCAGGCCCTGCAATGGCCCTCGTACGCCCTCAGCCCCAAAATGGCCCCCGAGACTTTCAGTGTGCTCCCACGAGGACTCCATACGATCCCAAGAACTCCCACGAGGCATACGAAGCTGCAAACGGTTCCATATAGGCATACCCGAGGCTTCCAAGAAGCTCTCAATCAATTTCGCGACAGGCCGCTCACATGCGAACTTTCATCACTCATCCCCCGCCTTTCTCTTCAACCTCCCTGTCTTTGCTCCTCCTCAAAATGCTCCTTCTCTTATCCTCCTCGCCATCGTCGTCCTCAGCATCGTCATCGCCCTCTTCCTGATCCTTCCTCTTCACTCCATCTCCCTCCTGCACTTTATCCTCATCTTGCTTTGGATTCGGGCTTACATTCCTTCTCCTCCTTCTCCGTATCTCTCCTCCCGCCTCTCCCTCCTTCCTCCCTTTTCCCTCGCTGTTCATCCTCCCTCCGCCCACTCTGATTTCACGCACACACCCATACACCATCCAGCCACTCCTCTGTTCTTGACTAGAACTTAGAATACCCTCTGTGTAGAACCTGTTTCAAGGGTAGACGTACATGCATCCTAGCCCGAATACCGAGCTTCAGTGCGACTTTAGTCGGTAACGCGTGGACTTCCAAGCCAAGGGCCCGATCTTTCAGACACGGCCCCCCAAGCCAAGGGCCCGATCATTCAGACACGGCCCCGCTGGCGCGCAATATACCATGCCCCATGACAAGTAGAACTTGAGCGCGCGCGAAGCTCGCACGATGCTTCTAGTAAAATTACCCCAGTGCGACCCTACCCAGAAGTTGGAGCCCCTAGAAAAGCAGCATTAGTTGCTATGCTATGCTATGATATGCCATGCTATGCTGCGCTATGCTATGCTGTGCTATGATATGCTGCGCGATGCTATGCTATGCTATGCTATGTGATGCTGTACCATGCTATGCTAAGCTAGGCTATGTCATGCTGCGCTGTGCTATGCTAAGCAAAGCTATGCTATGCTGTGCTAATCTGCGCTATGCTATGCTATGCTATGCTATGCTATGCTATGCTATGCTATGCTATGCGATGCGATGCTATGCTATGCTGTGCTACGCTCTGCTATGCTATGCTGTGCTCTGCTATGCTAAAGCTCGGCGAAGCTAAGATGAAGGTAAGCTAAGCAAAGATAAACCTGAGCTAATATGAAGCTAAGCTGAGCTAAGCTACGATGAAATAAGCTAAGCTAAGATTCGATAAGCAACGCTAAGCTAAGGGGACGCAACTGGGGGAACCGCGGGGCTGATGCCAGGGGAACCGCCCGGGGCGAGGACCACTGCCCGGCCCCTTTAAGCATACACAGTAAGAACCCTTCTAGGCAGAGCCTAGGTAGGGAATAAGCTAAGCTAAGATGAGATAAGCAACGCTAAGCTAAGGGGCCGTCACTGGGGGAACCGCGGGGCGGATACTGGGGGAACCGCCCGGGGCGAGGACCACTGCCCGGCCCTTTAAGCATACACGGTAAGAACCCCTCTAGGCAGAGCCTAGGTAGGGAATTAAGAGACTTGGCACTCGATAAGGCAACTGTAAAAATATCCGCTCACTATCTGTGTGGCTGCTGCGCAAGCTAGAACTGTCGGGCTGAGAGAGAATGTCTCAAGCGGGAGCCCGATATTGAAACGGAACCGCCCTTTATCTGTGTACGTGTTGTTCATGAATCGTTGCTTGATGCTCAAGACCAGTGTGCGCGGCGCCAAGGCGAGATCCCCATTCTGAAACGGAACCGCTATCCATGCGTGTAACTGTTTTCTTAGTGTGGCTGCTTGATTTTAACTCAGTGTGCGTTGTGCCAGGACGGCGGGAGCCCCATTTTGAGAACGTACATCCCTATATCTTTGAAGTTGCTCGACCTGCCAAAGACGAATGTACGCGGCTCCACGGCGGGAGTTTGATTTGAGCACCACCAGTGCTTCAATCCGTGAAGCCGTTGGAATTCTGAAGCTTCGAGGTCATACATGAAAAGGACGTATCGTGCGAAACGCCAGGCTCGCCCTAACGACATGTCTGGTGGTGCGACAGGGGACAAGTTAACTATGATGAAGGGGCATGGGGTGGGAGGTCGAGGAGGGAGGAAGATGCCTCTCCTACGTTCTCTTCCAGATGAAATGTCCCAACCTCTTGCTTGTGCTGCCAGGCGGGCCTGCTGCTAGCTTGCCCGAAGCCTCGCATAGCGCGTGACCTTTCTGTCGTCGTCGTCGTCGGTGTTCGACGGTTTTCGGAGGTTTCGGGAGGAGGAGGAGGGTGCGGACGCGGAGGAGATGGAGGGGGTTGCGGCAGCCGCAGCAACAGTGGAAAAGACGATTCAGAAGACGACTTGCCCTACGGTACCATCGAAGGCCGAGGTGGTAGCCGCCAGCGGATAGCCTGGGGGAGTGGCATTGCTCGTAGTTATCTGTTTTCGAGAGGGGTAAGAAGGATGATGGCCCAGGCATCCAGCGGCGCGACTTTCATTGGCTTCTGGACACCTTCCCCGAGGCAGTTTTTTCCACATTAAGTAGTTTTGTTTGACGGACTGGGGCACACCAGCCTCTAGATGTGTAAGATGTTGAGAATCGGGCCGTCGTACGTTTACATTTGGCAGAAGCTTGATAATGATGATGATGATGCTGACGATGACGATGACGATGCTGCTGATGATGATCATGATGCTGATGATGGTGATGGTGATGTTGCTGATGCTGATGAATGCTGCTGCTGGTGATGCTGATGCTGATGATGCTGATGCTGATGCTGATGATGCTGCTGCTGCTGATGATGATTCTGATGATGATAATGATGCTGCTGATGATGACGATGTTGATGCTGATGATGATTATGATGATGATGATGAGGATGATGCTGATGATGATGATGGTGATGCTGATGATGCTGATGATGTCGATGATGTTGATGATGCTGATGATGATGTTGATGCTGATGCTGGTGATGACGATGCTGATGATGATGATGATGATGATGATAATGATGCTGGTGATGATGACGATGATGATAATGATGTTGATGATGCTGATGATGGCGATGATGATGATGATGATGATGATGATGATGATGATGATGATGATGATGATGATGATGATGATGATGATGATGATGATGGTGATGAGGCGGAGGAGGAGGAGGAGGAGGAGGAGGAGGAGGATGAGGAGGAGGAAGAGGAGGGTGTGACTGGCACGCGGGAGTGCGCTCCCCAGTTGTCTTTCATCACCGCAACTCCCAAGTTGTACTTTGCCTTGGAGGGTGCAGCGACGCCATCTTGATGGTAAGGCGTGGTGTGGGGCTGTAGTTTAGGTAGGGCCGCTGGCCAACCACGTGGATTCGAGCGGATCGCAGAAAGGGCGTGAGCGTCATGCTTTCCTTTTTCTTTCTCTTCCCAGCTCCCAGCAGGCGGCCTTCGCACAGATGGACGTCTCGACCGTGGACAACCTAGTGAAGGCGCCAGTCCCGCTGGCAGTGAGGGTTTGGAGGGGTGTAGGGAGATGAGGAGGGGGGAAGGAGGAGCAAGCGGGAAGTGCCACGTTGGAAGACAACCGTTTGAGAATCCGCATTCGTGCCAACCATTCCATTCCTGGGACTTCAGCGCCGCAGATCAACGTGAGTGATGCGTCCTGAGAAGCCCTAAATCGTGCCAGAACAGCATTCGTGGGACCTCAACGCAGCCAATCAGCGTGACTGTTGAGTCCTAACAACTTTAAACAAATCTTGCTAGAATGCCATTCCTGGGGCTTCACCATGCGAATTCTGGAAAGCTGTCGCAGATTTTGAAGACGAATGCGCCGCGCGAAGGCGACAGCCATACTTGAAAAGGCACCGCTCTTCATCCTTGAGTTTGTTGCAAACTTTCACGTTTGAGAGGTAGCCTGCGATGCGGCGCCGCCAGCCCGCTTATATTACACGCTACAGCCCGCTTATTACACGCTATCCCCCACCCTTGTGGATACCGTGCGCCGA